CAGAAACAGAAACAGAAACACGCACCCACATACACATGTTTCTCGGCTTGTTTTATTGCCATTTTATTTCATAAAATTTACGAGCCACAAAAAGTTTGCCACTACCGTCGGAAAAAAAAGGCCCAACACACACACACAAAGGAAGTACCCAGAAGATATAGTGAAAGTGGAAGCAGTTTGCAAAGAATAATAAAGTTGAACAAAGCAGTACGAGTCTATCAGTCAAAAGTGGCGGAAATCGTGTTTTTTTTTTTTTTGCTTTGGTAACTTAATATTGATGACGCTGCTTAGACACAACCCCATATCCACGTTTCTTGCTAGTAAAAGCCCCAATAATCCTGACAAATCGCGGTTAGTTCTTGGGGTTACCAAGTGACATTCGCTTTATGACGCGCACTTTATACTGCAGAAATGAAGACAACTTACAACGTTGTTTATATCACTTAAAAAAAAAGCATTTTATGGGTAAAATTTTTGTAAGGGGAAATTGGCGATTATGCACATTTATTTTGAGAACTACTCAAAAATGACTCATGACAAAGGCCACAATGATTGTGAAGGAGTTATTAAAACTTTGATTTCATCCACAAATATCTTCATAAGCATCTACAGCTGCTAACCTTATTTTTATTAATACAACTCTTAAAGCGAGCTGATCAGGTAACAATTTCATAGCTTGACATTTAACAAAGTGATTTCAATAACATTTTTATTAAATTTATTTACTCTGTGCATTTTGTACAGATTTAAGTAATACAAAAATAAAGATTTTAAAAATTCCTAAATTCTCATATACTTATTCATGGCAACTTTAGCATGAATTAGAGAAGCCTATTTGCTATTTATACACTTCACTTAATTTTCATTCTTTTATTCACTCATATGTGAGTGTGTATCGTGGCGAAAGGATTCGAGTTATTTCCTTTATAACCCCTTCCAATCCAGATGTCGTTTTGTGATGTCTGAAATTTCATTTCGTACGATTCGTGCATATCGAATTCCCCTTTTTTTTTTAAGGGGTTACTTTTAGGGTTGCCTCCTGTTTGCAGGACTCCCAAGGAATGGGGGCCACCCACATTGTCACTTTTGTGCGCCTTCTACGTGCGGTTGATTGATGGATTCGCTTGTTTACTTGTCAAGCCGCAACAAGAATGTACTTTTGGGCTGGGAGAATTGTATGGGAATGGGGGAAAAGCGTGGAAAAACGGTCTGGGAAAGGATTTCAAAATAAGCAATAGTCAGCAGTAATCGTGATATATCATATCGCAAACCGTAGGGGAACAGCAGCCGCATGATATGGGTATTTTTCTGCCACGATTTCATTTTCCCCAGCCTAACTTGCTGTTTTTTTGCCCCCGTTTCTCCTTCTTTTATTTTTTGTATTTTTTTTTTCCTGACAGCTGCCGCACAGTATTTGCGGAATAAATTTTAAAGCCCAGCAAATGTAAATTCCGTCTCGAGCGGAGACATAAATCATAGCAATTCATTGCCCTCGAGCACGCACTCCGGGGCAATTGACGCCAAGACAAAGCGCTTCCTGATGGGGTTAAATGGGCCAAGGACACAGGGGACCTGCGGAAATCGGGCGACAAGTCGGTCCCTAAATAAGATTCAAACACCAAGTGACACTCATGATTTGCTGGCTTTTAAATACGATTTTATTGCAATTTCCATGGTTTTAACCGCCTTAAAGGTACCATGTGTACAGTGTACATATATCAATTTTTCAAAAATCATAAACATATGATTAAACACAACCTTAAGAGAATACTTAGTATAGCTCTTTCCTTCTTAATAAGACTGGAGGCATAAAATAGCATTTGGCTATTGAATTTTAAACGTACGCTTCTTCACACATTTTTTCTTAGGAAATGTGCCATTTTTATTTTTTAAAAATACTTCAGCTGAAGTAACTGAAAAGTTAATGATTTTAAAAAGTCATCCTCCGCCTTCAATAATTTCAATTCTTAAGAAAAGTGCATTTTGAAATAAACTAGAGTCAGAAATACTTCCAAATTAAATAAAATTATAAACACTATTTGAGCAGCAAGGTTCCCCAATTTGGCTGTATTCTGGTTGGCTGGCAATGGATAAAGTTTTTGGGAAACATGAGAAACTCTTTTCCACAAAATCTTTAATAATTTGCGCCCGGACACATTCCGAGATGATCTAATAAACTTGCCTGAATGTCTGCAAAATCCCATTTGGAGTGGCTCAGAATGGCGCTGCCCCCCTTCGTCTCGCATTTCCATTTCTGTGCGTGTTGCTTGAATCTCATTACAATTGCAAAGGAAAGCGAGCAAGGGCGTAGAAAAGTGGGGAAAAGTGGGGAAAAGTGGGGAAAAGCGGGGAAAAGTCCCGCAACCAGTTCGCCTTGAGGCCAAGAATACGCATTTCATTTGCAAGAAGCCAACGCTGACTAGTTTTCCCATTTCCCGACCTCGCCGAACTAGCCGAAGAAAACTCAGAAAAGCCATCTAAAAGTTAATTACAATTGCCTCTGCCCGCGTTGCTGCAACTTTAACTGCCGCAACGAGTTCGCATTAAGCAGAAACGAGGCAGGCGAAAAAAGGAGCACGTGAAAAACGAAAATAAATGCCAAACGAACTGGGAAATACCCTGGAAAATAATCCGAGCAAATTCGTTGAAAATATTGAAAGAGACAGTGGAAGAAAAATAATTGTACAAATAAATAATGAAATTAATCATGCTAAAATGTGGAATAAATTTTTGAATAACGGTCCTCAAAAATATATGAGGTCTTTTCCACTTTAAGTCCTACTACTGTCTATTTATAGAAAATAAAAGGGCTCATAAATATATTAAATAAAACCAAACTTATTACTAATTTTAAGAGATGCATAGCAATTAATTTAATTCAATAAATAGAAAGTTAAAGTCTGAGTCTTTTTGGTAGATGATATGTAAATGTATATCTTGGGTGCTTTTAATGAGGTTAAATGAGGTTAAATATTTATTAAATACACGAAAAATTGCCAGCTTAAAGATAAGCTTTTCCCGGAAATTTTCTGCTACAGGGTATCCCGAAAAAAAGCCAACCCGCAATGAAGTTCGGGCCGTAAGCAGTGCCAGTGGCTGGAACAGTAATATCTGAAGTAACTGGCAGTCCCAGTATCTAAATGCTGCAGTTTTCCGCGGCGAGAAAGGGGGCGGGGCGGGGGCGTATAAATATTAAAAAGAAAATCTGCTACATGGCTACGTGCGACGCATTTCAACGCAGTCAGCGCGACCTAAGTGAACTCCTGCCACTCCCACTTTTCCACCCGTTTTCCCTCAAACACACACATACATACACACAAAAAGGATACAAAGCAGGTCGGTTCGGGAGAATAAAAGTCGAAAAAAAAATGAAGAGAAATTTACTTTGACATATTTTTGTGCTTAGCAAAGCAAATACTTTCATTATTTTTGCTGTTGGGCACAAAATTTTCCTTCTCGCCCACTTTTATTTGCCCCGCAGGAAAAACCCAGGAAAATGGGAGGGAGCTGCATTTGAGTAGCTCAAAACATTCTGCGGTCCACGCCCAGAGCTTGAGTGGAAAATGACTGAAAATCCGGGGAGGCGGGGAAAAGTCCATCCAATGACCCAAACGTGGACGTAATTTGGCAACATTGTTCGCCTCTTCAGCGCAGCTGATTTAAGATAGGTCACGGAAAAGTTGCCGAAAATCAGAATGCGATTAGAAATTTTCATATTTATCGATTTTTTTGAGGCATCGTAAAACCACTGAGGAGATTTCAAGAATTATCAATCTACGACAAGGAATGAAAAGTAAAATATTGCCAGGAGACTTAGAACTTAGTTGAAATTTGATTTCTTATAAAAAAATGTTAAGAAATATAACACAATGTTACTTATAGAGTAAATAAATGTATAAGCAATATAAAACTATAAACATACTATAATGAACCAATTGTGGTAAATATATGTAAGACAGAAAGCGGTTAAGTATTAAAGCCTTATTTTTCTTTTCATTCCAATTAAAATGGCAGACAGAAAATAATGACTTGCAGGAAACCAAAATTACAGCGCATGCATAAATGTGGATCGAATTACTTGATCTGCTCTCCCGCTCTCTTTTGAAATTTTTTCAGCGAGAGAGCTGGTTGCATTTTTTTTAAATTCTCTTCTTCTTTAGATATACATACATTTTCAAGTGCGAACTTATTAGAACGCACAAAGGAATAAAATGGCAAAGGCAGACAGCGGTAAAGCAAAAAACAAAAAGATTTCTGTTCACTCACTCTGCATTATAGTTGGTGCTGAAAGTTTTTTCCTTTTTCCTTATTTGGTGTAAAACGCTTTTCCTTTGGGCTTTCCCGATCAAATGAAGAAAACGAGCATCAAATAGGAAACGAAAATGTGCGTCTCCTTGTCACCTTCCTTTTCCTTGCTTTCCTTTGGTTTTGTGTTCCAAAGCCCGTTCTTTTTAGCCTCGCTTGTCCAGCGGCTTTGCTTAAAATGATTTCCAGTAAAACTTTTTCAAGTTGATTGCCCACTAATAGTGGAAGGCGACGATGGCAACGTCTGGAATGCAAATCTGTAATGGAAGTGCTAACCTCTCGCGCGACTGAGTGATAATGGAAAATGGCGACGATCCAGTGATAAATTCTCTCTCTCTTCGGTCCACTTCCAAAAGAAACTCTCTCAGTTTGGTGGCACTGACGGGAAGTGGAACCACGATACACTTTATTTGCGCCTTAAGTTTTAGCTTTCCAACGAAATACAAACTCATTACTGGTTTTTAAAGAACAGATTGTGTGGCTCTAAAATTCAGTGTACTCATAAATGTGTTAATGCATAGACAAATACTTAAGTATACAATTTACTGTGAATAAGCAGAAGCTGAAATAACAATAAGGAGCAAATAAGATAAGCAAAAAGAAATTTAAAGGAAAATTCGATTTGTTATAACATTGTAGCTGTACAATTTATGGGCAGAAAATTTTAACAATCATTTCCTCTTGATTCTTTCCAGATCGTCGAGTGTCTATGAGGACAGCTGAAAGTATTTTGTTTTTTTTTTTTGGGGCGTGGCTCCAACTGCCCCACGCCTACGCCCACTCACGCCCACAGGAGCAAGTGAGACGGCAGACGGTGCGACAGAGAGGGCGAGACAGATGTGCGAGCGGCGGTGAGCGGTGAGGGGGAGAAGGAGAAAGAGAAGGAGAAGAGGAGAAGTGGGAGAAGTAGGCGCAGAAGGACGCTGGACGAAGACCATGGATTGGACCCGGTGGCAAATGGCCAGAGAAAGAGCTGGCAACCCTGGACAAGTCAGGAACAACCCTGGGCACAAGGATTGCGATCGTGAGACCCGATTGGAGTGGTTGCCCATTTGATTTGTTGCGGCTTCACACGTAGGTTCTATCAGTCAGTCAGTCAGTCAATCAATCAGCCAGTCAGTCAGTCGATCAGTCAGTCACCCACTCAATAAATCAATTGTGCCGCAGTGCTCGATTGTCGTTGTACCCCCACATCATCAGTTAAAAACCAAAATACAATAGCAAGCGATCAAGACATGCACATTACTGTAAATACTCAAATCAAAACTCAAAACTAGTTTCATAAACGTAAAAGCCAAAACAAGAAAACCAACAAAAAAAACAAATTCCAAAAAACCACAAAAAAATAAAAGTGCAGTGTATAGTGTTCCACGACAGAGGAAAAACAGACGGCAAAGGAAAATCGAGTGGGGAAAACTCCAAAAGTGAGAGGGCGGCCAAGGGCTGCCCCGCAACAACTAAAAACACCAAAAAAAAAAAACAAAATAAAATAAACCCCTCAAGATCAACAACCGAAATCAACAAGAAAATCCACAACAACAACAGCATAACGCCCCCAACACTGCCAATGCCATTGCCATTATCAAGAACAACGTTCGTTCATCATCGTTCGTTTAGATTTGACACAAGTGAGTCTTAGCCTAAATCATAATCATTCTATCTATGTATTTTATGTATCTATTTAATAATCTCCGTTGATTTTCTAAGCTCCCATTTTGGAACCAAAAGTAAACCACTTTTATCTGCTTGCTTTTGGTCTTCAAAAATAGAGTTTTCGAATCAGCGAGATTATCTTCTGCATTTTCCAAACATTTTTAGCTATAAGTATGTGAACTGTAAATATATTTCCTCTTCCAAAAAATAGTTTTCATACATTTGAGACATTGATTCCTAAAGTTTTTTAAAACCCTTCCTGTGGGAGCCTTAAAGTAGAATAATATATTAAATCACAAATAGGAAATTAAAAACAAAATAATATATTTATCTACATTTTGATCTACAAGAACGAGGATTTACAAATCTTCAGGGCCTCAAGGGTCTTCTTTATTTATATAGTAAAAGTACGAGTACATATCAAATTGCATATTCCAAACATTGATAGCTTTAAGTAGGATAATTGTAAATATTATCCCTTGTAAAAACTAGTTTTGATATATATTTGCCAAAAACTCCTTTAAATCTTAATGAACTTAGTATGAGCGTACTTACTAAAGACGGTAATTAAATCAATTTTACATAGATTTTGGTGTAACCTTACCATTTGCAGCTAATTTTTATGTGGCATGTAAGTGCTGCAAGGAAAGTGAGTGAATTATTAATTAGAACCAAACACGTTAACTGAAAGAGTTTCGTGATTTAACACCATTCATTAGGGTGTTGCCGTGAGTAATTAAACTTGTTGATGGAAATGTTTTCTGGAAGTTACTTAAGTGGGACTTTCACTTAACTTATTTTTTAGAACTGACAGAAATTTAAGCCTAGAAACAATTAATAAAAATGCAAATGCAACTATATAGTGAAATTTGGAGTGCAGGACTCGCCACTGACTAAGTGATTTCAGGATCTCAGTGATTTCTTCATTAGCGCGTCAGGCTGATTAGTGAATAGTCCTTAGTGTTTAGCGCCTAGTGTCAAGTGCCATCAATAAGAGTTGCTTTCGATGAATCACTTAGCCGACAGCTGCCGCGAATGCACCCATTGGGCGACGGGGGCCGAGTTGCAGTTGCCATCCATCAATTAGTTGTGCACCACTTGCAACACCCACCCACCCAGATGCCCACCCACTTTGCATTTTCGTTTAGCCGGGCAACTCCCGCGTGTCCACTCCCAATCGCAATGGCAATCTGCAATCTGCAATCTGACAAATCAAATCTTGTATGCAAAGCAGCCCAAGCAAAGCGGCAACTGGCGACACGAGCGACGGCCACAGCAAAAGCAACAAAGCGTCGAGCAATTTGTACAAGCATTTGTGGCAACAAAACGCCAGCACGCAGACGACAAAAAAAAATCAAAAAACAAAAAACAACAGGAAAAGGAAAGCACGCGAAGGAAAGGGAGACAAAGCGAATAATCAGGAGGACTTTTAGAAAAGCATAAGCAGGGATATAGCAGCGGAAAAATATATATTAATGAATGAGCCAGCCAAGAAAAGCAACAGATAGAAATGAAAAGTTGATTCAGCAGAAACACATAAGCAATTTGCATGCCAAGAAAAGAAAAGCAATTTTTTCCCAAATAAAGTATGCAAAAACCAAGAAAGCAAGTTTGCCATATAATTACAACAATTTGAGTAAGCAGAAGAGAAAAAAGCTAGAAGACTAGATAAAGAGAAGAATCCAAAGCAGCAAAGCATCAAAGCAAGTTAGCAAGAAAGCAAGAAAGCTAGCAAAGCAGAAATAGAAGCAAGCAGCAGACAGAAAATCAAGAAAGCAGCAGCAGATAGAAAAAAAGAAAGCAGAGCAGATAGCAAGCAATAAGCAAGAGATTACAAAGCAAGAAAACAGCTGATTGAATTATAAACACGAGCAAGCAAAGCAGGCAAGCAGGAAAGCAAGTTAGCAAACAAGCAAGAAGTCCAGGGAACAGGAGTCGGAGACGGACGACCAAATACTCTAGTTGCGTGACCCGCACGTTTTACACAATAACCAGCGTAATTGCTCATAGAGCGACTGCTCCGAATGACCCGCACGCCGGAGTAACCGACCGTTTACGTTTACGGCAATTACAAGCCGGTCCGCCGGAGGAGGTGACAGGCAATTAGGCTTCGGGCTTCGGGTGAGAGAGCCGGTGGCGGAGGGGGGTCGGCCGTACCCCCCCACCCCAACCCCGGATGTATAAGCCGGACACGCTCACGCGCCGCGGCAGCCTGAGATCCCTGCGCAGCGCCCCGCTCCTCAGCACCGTGCTCGAGAGCACCCTATCGCTGACCCGCATCCACCCGATCGCCTCCTTGGAGCTGCCCGGCCTCGACTATGCGGTCCACTCGCAGTCGGCCTTCGGCGCCTACGGGCTGGCCCATCCCCGCGATCTAGCCACCTGCACCTCGTTGCGCAGCGGCCTTGCGGCGATCACCGCGGCCTCCGCCTCCGCCGCCGGGGGCGTCTCCCAGTCGCAGAGTGCCCTGCTCGGGCGCTACGGACCCAACGCCTCGATTCGCCACGGAGAGCGAAAGATTGTCCAGCCGAAACGGTAGGTTCTTGCTATACCTAAAGTCATGTGGTAGAGTGCCCCAAATGGGACCTAGAGTCATCAACTCATCAGGTTTGCCCCAATCACATCTAAATAAGGTGATCTTAAGCTTTCAGTGGTGTTTGAGAAATTACTAGGGTTTTTACATCACTTTTTAAAGTGCCTAAAAGTATGCAAGAATTTATTTTTATCCCGGAAATCCGATGAATTCGTTCCAAATAACACAATTTCATTTTTCACTGCATACTTTTGGACAACTTTCTAAATGATTTTAAGATCCTGCTTATTTCTATGGCACCCCTTATGTAGGGTTTTTATACGCTTCAATCTCTGTCGATATCTCAATTTAAGCCTTGTAAAAACATACCCTTTTTATTACTTATTATTTCCGAAATAATTGTAATGAATAGATATTCCTACTGTGGCTCAAGAATTCGCGTAAAGATAATAATGTCTCTGTAAGAACTTACTTAACCTACATCGTATTTGAACATCCAGAGCTGAACTTGTTTTCAGGTATAAGTCTATATATATTAAATGTGTATGAGTGGAATGATTTGCCCAGTCAAAGTACCCTTTAAGCTTCAATTTATTTTAGAATGGAATTTAATGATTATAAAGCTCAAGAATTCGTACAGTACACGAAAAAGAGAAACATACTAAGTCTACAATAGGAAAATGTAATATTTTTTAATATGTCACATTTTGTCAACAATTTTTTTTTTAATACCATTTAATTTATTTATTTATTTTTTATTTTTTTTACATTTTCTTTATCAACCCTCGAAAATATGTTGTTTATTACAATTCTGTTGTCTTGTATTACATGATTATAAAAATACAAGATACTTGGGAGCAATGATAAGTGTGTGCGTATGCTTGGTATTTCTTGGGGAACGAATCGGTTGGTATGATGTCAGGTGGACTACTGCCAATCCCTCACTGGACTCCAGCGCTTCAGGTTGCCATCCCAGGGCAGATCGTCGATGTCCGCCTGTGCGGCAATGGCGGCCTTCACGCGATTCGAAAACTCCACCGGCGACTCATCCGCACAGCGGCTAAACGGTGCCATGTACCAGACATCGCAGCAGATGCACCATGAACTGACCACCATCAGCATGTACCGGAGCATCGAGTACCGGGCGCTGTCCCAGAAGGCCTCTCCAAAACGGCGATCGTATCGAATGGCCACTGGATGGACAATGTCGCTGACGGCAAAGCTGCCCTTCTTGAACTGCATCACGGCGGTGTTGTTGATGCAGGTTCCCTCGGGAAAGAGCAAAACCGGCGGTCGATCCTTTGCCGAGCAATGCATTCGAAGGACCAAACCCAGGCCCTCACGATCATTCAGCTGACGGCGATCGAACCACATGTGATGGGAGACCCGGGAGAGGGCCCTCTGAAAGATTCCCAAAATACCATCATGCACCTGTCCCGTCAGCGAGTAATTGCCATCGCACATCAGCACAAGGACATCCAAGGGACTGGTATGATTGCACACACAAATGCCCCTAGTGGGTCGATACTCCCTGTTGTGGAATCGACGGATCATGGGCAAACAACCGGCTGTGATGCAAAAGCACTGGCGCAGTACCAACTCCACCAGCTGTTTCTTGAAATGCCAATCGGGCAGGTGGCCCAACAGCAGCGTTAGTCCGCTGATCATGAACAGGCACAGACAGCAGGCAGCGGTTCGCATTGGCACAAGCAATGCATAGCGGATTAGCCAGCCGAGTAGCCAGACCAATCTCAATTGCCAGTTAAGATATCGCTTCCTCTGTCGCAAATTGCGCGTCAGCAGATTCCATTTGCCAGCTGGTGCTGGTGCGGCCACAAACCGCTGGGTCACCTCGTCCTCCAACACCAAGGCGAGGCCAGAGGTGATCAGATCACAACACTCCTCCACACGTACGTTTAGGCGATTCTTCATCGGCGGCGAGAGCAGCATATTCACGCCATCACCCCTGTCACGTTGCCTTGGGTTCTCGGATCCAGAGTCGTTTTGCTCCTTCATTCCCGGCAAAATCCACTTCTTGGTCAGCTGTTTGCGCTCGTCGCGAGCCCGCTTCCGGCCAGCTATCGCCAACTGTTTGGCGATCCAGGCAAACAGACACTCCAGGGCATTTAGATAGCGACGCTGCAGCCAGAAGGAGCTGGCCCAAAACAGGATTGCCACGACGAGCACTTGAAAGAACATGACTGTGTGTGCGTGACAAGAAAATATAAGGTTACAAGGAAAAAATCAAATCAATAACTGTCGACAATATAACTAATTTGAAAACAAATATGTCCCTACTAGATGGAGCCACTTGTAGGTCTATTGGCGCGCGTCAAACATAAAATATCAACCGCCATCTGGTGGTAAAGTGTATATTTCTGTAAGCTTGATTACTTATGTAACAATGATTTAATTTGATAATGTTGCAGTGTATTAATAGGCGAGGTTCAAATAAAACGTATATAGCCAAAAGGTACATTTTTTTTTATTAATTATTATTATTATTACTGCTTAAAATGTACAGCCCACTTTTAAAGAAAAGTTTAAGAAAGACCTGCATATTAGCTCAAAGCAAATAGCAATAAAGCAATATAAATAATTTTTGTTGAACTGCATTAATGCGCTCAAGAGTTCAACCACGATTTTGCCAATTAAAGCCGTAATTCAATTTGGCGCCGACTTTTTGGCTTTTGCCTCGCATTTCCCCGGTTTTTCTTACACATATTTTTTTCCTATTTTTTTTTTTTTTTTTTGTTAAGCGCCCAAAAGACTTTTGATTTATTTAGCCCGAGATGTGAAGGAAAAAGTAAGAAGGGCGCAAGAAACTTTGCCGTCGCTTCCTTTTATTTTTATATTTTTTTTTTTGCGTTTTTCTGGACGGGTTTGCGCCGCTTATGGGTTTGAGTTTTTGGGTCTTTGGGTTCGGCTCTTTTGCCTTAGCCCATTTTTTTTTTTTTTGTTGGTTTTTTCATATGGCAATAATTCAATTATGCCATAACAAGGCCGCAAAATGTTTGCCTCGAGCCGACCCGAAATCACTTAAAAACCACAGAAACTTCTGGCTTTGTTAATTCGTTAATTAAATGGGGGCTTTGCGATTTCGCCACCGCTCCTCTCGAGGATTACGCAATGAGCGATGATGATGGTGATGGTGTTGGTGGTATGGCGGCGGTATATCCGTGCCATCCTTCCGCCCTTTTCCATTGATTACATTGGCTGGCAACAATCTTGGCTTATCAAATGCAAACAACGAGGACAGGCAGCTTCAACGTCAACGTCAACGACAACGACAACGACAACTCATTTAGGCCCGGGTCCGGGCCCTTAATTAGCATAGAATGTGTTTTAAAAAGCCACTTGAGCTAAACATTCAAAACACCTTTAGGGTGTTTTTTCCCCCTACTACCCCATCCAGAGATCCTCTTTACCTGTCTCTCTGGCCCAGCCTTTCCTCACTGTTCCCCGCTTTTCCTCGCTTTTCGCCGCTTTTCCTCGCTTTTCCACTTTCCCAGCGACAACGACAACGACCTTAGGCGCTTCTGTTGCCAAGTCTGCGGAGATTTCTGTGCGGGGAAGTATCTGCGTGGCACAGTTTGGCAAGTCTGGGGCCGGACAGATTTAAATACTCTAACTGCCAAAAGCGAGAAGTTAAAAAGGGCAACGGCGACTGGGAAAAGTGTTTGACACCCTAAGGTGTACCTAGTCTACAAATGAAATTTTATTAAGTTCCGAACAATAGCTTTGCATTCGGCAGAGACCACACTCTTTAATTGATTTTAATTTGAGTTCTCTTTTCATTTGCCACACAAATTTTTATTTAATTGTTTTCGATTGGTTGTTATTATTATTTATTCAATTAATGGATTTTTTTCATTGATAATGTGCATTAAAATTGATTGGATTTTCTGTTTATAAAACCATGGTATTTCTGATGTGTTGATGTTACGGTTATTCTTAGCACTTTTAAATTATACAAGAAATAAAGACGGTTAACTAAATAAATTGTTAAGATCCATTAAAGAGAGATGGTTTTATTGCCCACTTTTAAGCTCCCAAATAGGGTTTGAAAAATTTTTAAAAATTGCCAACCACATCACAATTATGTTTCAACTATACCACTATCACCCAATATATATATTCCGGTATAGGTAGAGTACACCTGCGTCGACGTCGACGCAGCGACGACTGCGACAGAGGCAGCACGTGACGCTCAAGTGTTGGGATAAGCATTTCCGCTCTTCAGACGTTACACGAAAAAAGCGCCCCCTCTTGTGACAAAGCGCTTGTTGTTGTCGCGGAAAAGCGGTGGAAAAGCGTTGGCCAAAGGGGGGGCTGGGGTGGGGGTTTGTGGGCAAATGAGGAAGCACGAAATGAAATTGTGACGCTGGCGCAGCGACACGCCCACATGACGAGGCGCCGCCACGCCCACCTGCCATTCAAAAGTAATTTAGCGTTTAAAAAACATTTTTCTGCCTGACTTTTAAAAAAGTTGCGCGTAATGCTGCGAGACGTGTGTGTGTGCGAGTGTGTGTGTGGGTGAAGCAGGTGGAAAAACAGTTGGCAGGGCGGGTAAATTCGGGGGAAAAGCGGTGGAAAATCCCGCCACTCACCTGGTTGTTGTAGCCACGTTCCGATTTCGATGTCGTCGTCTGTCTGATCCGCCCGATTGTATTTTGTTATGGCTCGGTAAAGTCGAAAAAAAAACACACACTGCCTACGAATTTTCTTTTTCCTTATTGACTTTGACGTTTCCCCAAACGGCTACGTGAGCGAATCACGGGGGAAAATCTGGGGAAAATGCCTATGGAAGTGCCGCTTAGATTATGAAAAGCCTACGCTTCGACAAAAAAAAAATAGGTACGCAGGATAATGAGATTAGGGAAGTTGTTAGCACTTAAGTACTGGATAAAATGGCCGCTATTTGGAAAACAAATTCTTTAACCTTTAGCGGGAGTAAAAGAGAAAAATGTACTTCCATATACATATAATATATATAATATTCCATATGCAATGAAAACATGATTCTACATTACTTTATGTATAAGAAACATGCATCTCTTAAATTAAATTAAAACAAAATAAATCAAACTATTTCATTGATCAATGATCAACAACCATGGGCTTAAACGCACTTACATATTAGTTAGAGCAATAATATAATTTATAAAAAACAATCATTGATAAAAACTAATTTAAAATAACATACCAATTAAGTCATTTCCCAGGAAAAGAATTTAATAGGCATCACAGAGTTAAATAAAATAAACAATCAAGTATAATAATGACAATGGGAAAACAATCACCCCACTCTCTGCATTAGCATAATTTTGGGTGATTATTTCCATAAGTTTTTTAGCCTCCCCAAAAGCTAGGGAATATTCTTGGGGGGTTTTTTTTTTTCATCCCCTCTGGAAGTTTTTAAGCGCCTGTTTCACAGCCAAGTTAATTAAAAAAGTGTTGCCGTTTGACCCTCGGAACTTGGAACTTGGAGATCGCAACTCGCAATTCAAATCCCTTTGACACTTGATGGAAAAAGCCCGCCCGCACTTTTCCATAATTGGTTTATGCCATTTTCCCGGCTTGTTTACGCGCCGACAACATTTGCATAATGAAACTGAGAATCAAATACAAGAAACGTGATTTATAATTTTTCTGTTGTTGAGCCGGGCATTTTAATTAGTCCCCGGAAGAGGACCCATCGCCTAATTATGTGGGGTTGGGGTTTGCTGCTGAGGTCCTTTCTCCTGCCATCAAGTCATTATTTAATATAAGCCGCCTTGCTCTCCATGCTTTTGATAAATTATTTCCGCCTGATGGACGCTACGTGACGAAAGTTGTCAGAAAAGCCAAGAAAAAGGGGGGGGGAGTATCGTCTTATGTATTTTTGATTTGCGGCCGCATCGAGCCGTTTGCCAATCATCCATCCTCGAGGCCTCGTTTATTTGCGGCAATTAATCAATTTGGCCGACCGAGCGGCTTATCCCCGAATAAGTGATAAAGATTTATCACTCAGCCGCCCCGTTGGCGAGGTCCTTAAAGCGCATTAAAGCGCCGGACTCTGCACGTTCATTGAACCAAACATTTTGACTTTTGCGTCTGAACGCACATGAAAAGCATTTGGAAAATGGGAAAACGCAGGGGCAGTCGTTTATTTTAACTAAGAACCAACACAACTGCAGGCGTATTAAGTAGCGAATGGCATCCAAGTCGCACAGTTAAATTCTCTTGGTTTCATTTTATATAAATAAATTATGTATTTAAATATATATAAATTTCATTGTGACAAGTGCATTACATTATAAGTGAATATACTAGTGGCACTAGGATAATAGTCAACTTTAAACTTCCATTATTTTAACACAATTTTTTATGTATTTATAAAATTAAGCATACAAAAAGCATTCTGTAATTTGTTCATTTATTTATTTATAAAATCAAGCATTTTTTTCATAAATAGTTGACAACTGTTTGTACTTGTTTTATTATTAATTAACTTATTTTAACAGGCTATGACATAGAACAACACAAATTAAGTTCAAAGTAATCCTAACTTTTAACTAAAATCAAACAATAATAATTTCTTAGTATTAAACAATTTTATTAAGCACATTACAAATTGAACGAGCAAGCCAGTAAATGGGAAATCGTTTAGGACTTTCAAAGCAAACGAAAGCTGCAAATGTTGAACATAAATCTTTAAAAGTGAAGAGCACTGGATATATAGTGTACTGCTCTGTCCGACCCCCAATTTCCCGTGCACCCAGCCATTTTCCCGCGCCTCCATCATTTAGCCCTCTGCATTTTCGACGTTTTTTTTTTTTTCTCGCTTAAGCGGCTTCACGTTCAAGCGAAACGGGGGTCAATGCACCCGGAAAAAGTGTGGGTGGGGGAAAATAAGGTGGAAACGGTGGGAAAACAGGAGGGGGAAAGCCAGTCAGACGGCGACGATGACTCGTTCACGATGTTTACGTTTTGAGCCGCGCTTTTCGGGGCTTGTCAACGCCGTCCTCTCAACTTATTACTGAGAATTCCTGCCCGGAGAACCTTGCTCAATTTCTTAGGTGCAAAAAGTTGCACTTCACCTGCTGGTTTTTTGGATGGTGCAATCTAAGTGGGTGGCGCAGACTGAGTGGGTGGTGTTGCAGACAGTGGGTGGTTGTGCTAAGTGAAGTGTAGGCGCAAAGGCGAAACACGCGAAACT